CCTTAATTGCACCTGACACATTTGTTTTGAGGACCATATTTATTTTGGTGTAGTATAGCTAAAATGAAATCTGTCACAGTAACCAGCTGTCCTACTTGAACACTTTTTATATTAGCCATAGGTAGCTAGTTTTGCTGGTTTAATCAGAGTGTTAAAGCAAAATTGTGTCTTAGAAATTTGAAATATCATTTTGCTTCTTGGCGCAGATAATAGCAAGAATTTGCCAAGAATTATGGGAGTTGCCAAATAAAAGAATCAGAATTACAGGATTGTCAACATTTTTAAATGACTAATTCCAGCGAATGAATTACTATTCACTGAAGTCAGAGACCCAATAAAAAGCAAAAATTAAAAACAAAACAGAAAACAAAAATCAGATTTCTAGGCAGATATTTAGGTAGAAGTTGCTAGGTGAATTGATACATTTTAAGAACCTTAATCTTATTAATTAGGTTGTCAACAATATGAATTTAAATTTAGTTTTTAAAACAAATTAATAGGTTTATGATATTTTTGAAAATTTCCTCAGAACCATCTCTAATAATTTTAGCGCTTTCACAAAATGCATCCTGAAATCAACTTTTTAAGACAAGTTTTGTTGAGGGGACAAGGGTTAAGGATGCTGAGACACAAGGTTCCATCACGTGATACCCCTGACACACCTTGAGGCCTCTTTTGGGGGTGTACAGCAATGTGTGTAGGGAAGGGCAGGACCAGGCCTATAAGCACTGTACCTACAGTGATGTTGAGGGTGAAGAGGGGTAAGATCATCTGATATTTTCCTGTTTTAACTAATTCTTGCTAACAAGGTGCTTAACTCAGCTGTTTCTAAGCTGTTGAAGAAGTCTAAGTACTGACAGCTCCTTAAAAATTTTGATTCCTTGGGGCAAAGGACTGATCACCCTACTTTGGTTATAACTATGAATTTCAGGAGTGATAAGTATAATATTTTCTGAGATCTAGGCTTGCACCTATAGTAGAAAGCAAGAGAGCAATTTATGTATTGCATATTCATTGGAACTGTAAGTTCTTTTGCATTTGTACTTATCCTGGAAAAATAACCTATGCTGTTATTATTTAGTATGTGAATTGACCTGATTAAAAAAAAAAGCAAGGCACATTGCCATTCATTAAGGTATCTAAAAGTGTATACAGGGAGAATCCAACCTAACCCCTTGATTGGTAAAGGGGGAATTCATTCATTTGACCATAGTAATAAAGGTTCTAGCAGTAAGATTTATTTCCTCTGATTCTTTCCTCTTGGTTCTCCTTGGACAAGTCTGTCCCTTTGCCAGTGAACAGCAACTGTAAAAGTCTAGTCATAACAGCGAGGTTTGAATTCAGTGTGATGGAGAGAGGGCAGTGTTATCACTTTGTGTTTTTTGTGAGTAAAAGCTACTGGGAATTTTTTTTTTCCTGTAGCATGTACATTATGCAAGTCATTGCTAGCTTACGATATTACTATAGAGGAGGATGGTTCAGGTAGTCAAAATGAATCACAGAGGAAGATTTCTTTCATCCAACTCACTTTCATATTGAAATTTCTGTATCAAATTAGAAATTAGCCTGTGACCCTCTAGGCACATTTTATATTCAGTCACGAACATAGCTTCCTGTCTATTAGGGAAAGCTGTGCCTGTTCATCTCGGAGCAAAATCTAACTCTCTGCAATTGAAAAAATGGAGAAATTTGGGAAAAAATAAACCAGGTTAGTTTTCATTTGAAAATAGCTGTTATGATGTGGGGTGCTGGTGGTGGTGTATGGGTGTGGGTGTGTGTGGGTGTGGGTGTTTGCTCATTAAAAATATTTATAAATTTTAAAATTCAAAAGCATGGCTTGTAAGCTCTCATCCATTGCCAAATGGTGGGTGATTGAAGAAAAAAGAACCTGGGAATATATGGGAAAGTCCCATTTCTTTGTTCATGAAAGTCCCTTATGCAGCTAATAATCATTTCATGTAACTAGGGATTTAAAAATAGTATCAATCTGTGGCAATTCACAAATGATTGTTTTGTTAGTTATTCTAAATAAGAAATTATGGGAATTCTATGTTAGAGTTGGAAAAGACCTTGGAAATCATCTAGTGGTTCTTAACCTAGAGTCCGTGAACTTTTTTTTTTACCTTTTTGAAAACTGTACTTCAATGTAATTGGTTTCCTTTGTATTCTTATATATATTATTTTATGCTATGAAAAACATTTTTCTGAGAAGAAGTTCATCGATTTGACCCAATTCTCAAAGTGGTCAATGACACAAAAAATGTAAGAACCTTTGATTTAGTCTAACATTTCTGTTTTCTAATAAACTTGAGTGTCCAAAATTATGCAAATGAGGGTAAAAATGGAAAGAAAAGCTTGTCATTTTTCCTATCTTAAAATATTAAAAATAAAATAATAAATAAATAAAAAATATCTCATGAGCATGCTTATTTTTCAGTAGAAAATAAGCTTAATTTTCTCTATTTCGCTCCCAAATGTTCCTGTTTTACTTTGCTCCAAGAGTATTCCATGTGCCTAGACCGTCTTCTTCATTTACCTTGATCAGCATTTATAGATTCTGTCCATAGAGTAAAAGTTTCAATGTTCTGTGGCCAAATTAGATTGGGACGTTTTAAAATGCTTTCAATTTATAGAGATGGAAACTCTGCAGAAGACTGTATGAAATCAGTAAGATTAAGTAACTTAACCAAGGTCGTAAAGCATGGTTTTGTTTTATTTTGTTTTATTTTTTGGCAGAGATAAGCCTAGAACCCGGGTGCCTGTATTTTTTTCTATTCAGGGAGGCTAATGGCAAACAACAATTTGGGGTGCTTATGTTCAGATGGAGTATATGCAACCCTGGGCAAATCTCTTAACTGTTTGCCTCAGTTTCTTCATCTGTAAAAATTGGAATAATAATAGTACCCACCTCCCAAAGTTGAGATAATAATTGTAAAGTGCTTAGCACAGTGCTTGGCATATAACAAGTTCTTAATAAATGTTAGCTATTATTATTAGCTATTTTTACTCAAGAATTCTTAGCAGTATGAACCATTTTGACATTCTAGCAATAGTCCTATTATATCACCATGAAGATAACATTTGAGGGATCACAGAATCAGAGATCACAAAATCTAGGAACCAATAGGCCATCTGGTCAAACCTTCACCTGACAAAGAAACACCTCAATATTTCAACAAGTGGTCACTGGGCTTTCTCTTGAAGACCTCTAAGGAGGGGAAACCTCCTGAAAGTAATTTAACTTCAGAGCTGAAAAACTTCCATTCGAAAAAAAAAAGCTGACCAAAATTTTTTTTTAAATTCAATTGAAAGAAATCACCAATTCAATTCCAAAATTTTGTATTCTATAACATAGTTTATATTCCAGAATTTTGTGTTCTATAACACAGTTTACATTTCATCACAGAAATTATTTTATAATAAAACCATATTGTTAAACAACACTATTGATTGCACTAGAAGACAATTTGTAGAAATAAAATTAATCTATGGTACTTGTGACTCATAAACTGTTTCAAGTTACAAAGGAGATGTTCCTCGGCTTTCAGAGAACATATCCATAATCATCACTGCCTTGATCATTTTGACGTGTCAATTCAATCAAATAATTGATCAATTCAGATGAACAGCTTGTTTGATTTCTTTGGTTTATTTTTACTGAATTGTTGTCTATTCTGTCAAAATGGTCTAACTTTTACTGTAAGGATTCTTGTGTGATCAATTAGTGCAAGGATATGTTACGACTCTATGTTGATATTTAACAGTAGGATATGTACCCATTGGCAATCTCAATAAGGAATTTTCATAGGGAAAATAAAAACTTTTATTAATGCATCTTTTAATCCATGTCCTCAAATTTGAGTATTAAATATATAGAACCAAATCAAGCTATTGGTGGGAAGTTTTGAAAAATTCAAGCAAATCTCTTAAAGGAGACAATTAATTTTGTGAGGAAGTGGCAGATACTGTGACTATAGGTAAAATGCAAGTCATTTGAATGTTCCAGTAAATGGAAAAACTACTGGGCTGACTCCTTTTCCTGATGCTGATGCTTCTCATTTTAATCTATTTTTTTCAAACTTGGATGAAGTTTATGTATGAAATCTGGAATTGAATGATATAAAGAACAACTTGAAGATTTAAAAATTTTGTAAGTAAAATATGCATAGTGAGTTATCAAATGAAATGTTCACTTCCTAGTATAAAACTGCAACAAGAAAAGTAAATTCTCTAACACAAAGAGCAACAACAAAAACTATTATCTATAAGGGTTTGTCCATCTATAAAATGGGTTTCTGTCCTTCCCCATGTCACTAGAATGTCAGTAAGATAAATGAGATATTAAACTAACCTACTCATTAAAATGAAGTTCTTTTCTTTTGTATGGACTTGACTTCTCTTTTCAAATATGTTTTAGTCTCTACATTTGACATTAGGAGGTCTGGTTATTTTTAAAACAATTGTCAGTTTTCCCAGAATATATGATGTGTTATAGATTATTAGATAAACATTTTCCTTCCATAACTGCTGGGCAGCTAGGGCAGTGAATAGTACACAGGACCTGGAGTCAAGAAGACCTGAGTTCAGACCTAGTCTCAGACACTAGTTCTGTTACCTTGGACAAGTCACTTAAACCAGTTTGCCTCTGTTCCCTCATCTATAAAATGAACTGGAGAAGGAAATGGCAAACCACTCCCAGTATCTTTACCAAGAAAACCTTGTATGAGGACACAAAGAGTCAGATACAATTGAACAAAAAAATATAAAAGTTCCTTCTATAGCCATCATACTGTGTTGATTAAATTTATTAGAATATTTTTTTCAATAAAGCCATCTTATGGTATAGAAAGAGTGGTTTTAAAAAAGAGCTGGGTTCTAAATGATTCTTCTATAGAATTAAAGACACTTCATTAAAGACAAGTTATAAAATTCCTTTATGAAATTATTGCAAATGAGAAAGTACAGCATGTATTTTAAAATGCATTTAAAAACCAGTAACTTGAAACATCATTATGAAAATAAACATCTGTTAATATCTCTGATCAGGAAGATAAATATCTTACAAAAGACAAAGACCCTACCCTATATATTAAAGATCAGTAACATTTTTAAAAGCCATTTTTTTTCTCTGTAGGATAGCATAGAACATCTTACACAAATATCTATATCTTAAAATGCTATCTATACATATTGAATAGTGCCATAGAAAAATGTGATCCTGGGATTTTAGTTTAAACACAAGGCATTCATTCCATTAGGTTGAATCCAGAAATCCAAGTACCACCAATTATATTATTAGTCATGTTTTACACGGCCCACCTATGTTATTAAAGCCATGTAATTACAGAAAGTTAAAACATTCATTTATGGAGCTATTGCTAATGAGAGAGCATGACGTACACAACAAAACACCATTAAAAAGCATTTACTTAAAGTATCATCATGAAAATACTCTTCTATCAGTCTCTCTGATCAGTAGCCAGATCTCTTTCTAAGGATGGAACTTGACCTGTGTTTGCTTTCTTGACTCAAATACCATAAATCTATAAAGACTCCAGCAGATGAAAAAAGTATAGCAAATTTAAGACAATCCTTAGGATAGGGACAGGCTGTCAGCAGTTATGAAGGTTAAAAATTTTTTTTTGCATTATTCATCTTTACCACCACCCTGCCCCTTTCAGTTTAACCTAATTCCAGCCTCCCTGGGCTCCCTGCAATTCTGTGAATGTAGAGAAAACACTAAGGGCAAAAGATGACTTAGAAACCAATGGCATTGGAGCAAGAACTTTGATTTGGATCTCAGCAAAAATCAAATACAGGCACCATATAAAGCTCACCCCATTCATTGTGACCATATTTGTTAGTGGCTGAAATATGTTCATTTTCTCAAAGCACAATATCCAGAGAGGTGAGATAGTTCTTAGTAGAGAAAAAGAGGCTGAAGGTGTATCACAAAACACTTTGAAGGGATAATATCAACTGGGATCCACTGTTTAAGAGTCCAAGAAGAACAGAATCCTCCTAAGAGAATAAATAACAATTGATTCAATTACATCCACAGCCTTTTCTCCTTTCTTCTTTTTCCTGATAAAACTATTTGAATTGCCCTTTCCCCACCTCCCACAAAAAAGAAAAAAAACCTTTTCCTAAAAATATTTCACTCTCTTACTTTTACAGAGACACAGAACGTCTTCTCCTTCTAGAAAAATCCTCTCCATGAATGAAGTTGGTAAAGATCTTACTAAGGTGGCTGTCTGAGGTTTCAGTGCTGCTCCCAAGGTTGGAATTCTTCAGACAAGGACAAAGACAGCAGATAATAGCTCGCCGTATATAGCCATCAAAGAAATAATAAATGAAAGGGTTAATGCAACTGTTAGAAAATGCCAAAGGACCACTGATGTCCATGCCCACTTGGAGCATGGCTGAGGAAAAGAAGGGTTCTTCCTGCAGCCCAGAGATGATAGACAAAACTTTGAAAATGTTGAAAGGTAGCCAAGAGCTGACAAAGGCTGCCACTACGATGAAGATAATTTTTATGGACTTTTGGAGCTTTTTGTTGTGTTTTCCTGACTGCTGGTAGTATGTACACAATTTCCTTGCAATAGAACAGTAGCAGGTCAAGATGCTCAGCAAGGGGACAAAAAAAGTGAAAATTAAGGACACCAGGGCCCAAGCATGTTTAGAGAGAGTGGCCGGCTCTTCTGCACAGTAGGGTTTGTCCTCGATCATTGTGAGGTCCCTGGACAAAAGAGTGGGCAAGCCCAGAAGGCAGGAGATAAACCAGACACTGACACAGACACCATAAGTGCAGTCTTTCCTCCTGAATTTCCTGGATGCAGAGGGGCACATGATAGCCAAGTAGCGCTCAGCACTCATGCAGGTCAAGAAGAAGACGCTACTGTGCATGTTGACTGAAATGATGTACGAGCTTCCCTTGCACAGGAATGAGCCAGTCCTCCACAGGCCTAAGGATGCCTCCTTATCCACCCAGAGTGGCAGTGTAACAAGGAAAATGAAGTCAGAGACAGCCAGGTTGATGATAAATATGTCAATCAGTCTTTGGCTTCCCCGTTTAAAATGTAAGGCTCCAATCAGGATCAGGTTCCCCACAACACCGATCAGGAACACAGCAGTGTAGAAGATGGGAAGGAAGACAGATGTGTACAGGACGTGCGAGTGGTCATCCTCAAAGTCAGGACCTTGGCTAGTAGCATAGTTATCCAGATAGGTCAGGGAAGTTGTCTCATCCATCTCAAAAATTCAGTTACTGAAATGCAACAAGTCTTCTCACACCTTTGAGATATTTTGTGAGGATTTTTAAAATCTTGAGACAGGTTGTTTCATACAGTGGCCACGTCTTTTTCCCTCACTTTAAAGCTGCTGAGCAGAGCATTAAAACACACTTGTAAATCCAGCTTTTACTAATCAAAAAAAAAAAAAGAAAAGAAAAGAAAAAGAAAAAAGAAAAAAAAAAGGCCAGCTCAGTCTAGTTCTGATTGGTTGTGGCTGTGGTTATCCTTATTTGCATTTGACCATGAAGCAAAGGAGTTGGTTTTTTTTTTTTTTTTGGTCTTTCTTCTTTAAAACTTTGAATTTATTTTTTAAATACTGTTTGGCCACAGTTAAAGGCAAATTAGCTCACCTTTTTGGAACACCTTGCCTTCCTTTAAAGTGATGGGTGTTTTTCTTTTCTGAGACCTAGAAATCTTCTATATTGTTTTGAGGGGTTTGAAGGGTGTTGCTTTCTTTTCAAAGTTACAGAGTAGGTGATACTGGTGATGATATTAAGAAACCCCATGTTCACATGATTGTCAAAAAAATGTGGAAACTATAACTGTGAATGATAAAAGGCAATGGTTGTTTCAATTTAGAGCCTTGAGAGATTGAGTAAATAGCTCGAAGTTCATTCTATTTTTCTCTAGGTCTTTTGGTTTTATTAATTGAATACTTCTTTGACTACTCACAGAATTTTTCCAAATCTTTTCTTTTCTTATCAAGTCTCCCCTAAGTTCTCTTTCTCCTTCCTACTCAGTAAGGAACTTTCCTTTTATTTCCTGAAAAAAAATTAAACTATTCACCATGAGTTCCCTCTTTTCTTCTCTTCAACTCAAAACCCTTTGATATCATTTCTGATTTTCTTTGTCTTTATTCTAGTCTTTGATAACGTCTAAGGCCAACCCCTCCACAAATTCCCTTGATCCCATTCTTGTTTATTATCTCCAGCAGATTGTTCCTACTATTATTTTGTCTGTCTCTCTAATCTTTCATCTCTCCTGATCAACTGATGTCTTCTTTTATTTATTTTTCTGAACTTAAGAAATAAAACAAGCATTTCTATAACATAATTGGAATGTTGGAAAAGATGATTGTACATGAAACTGCAAATCTGTTATGTACAACTTGCTATTCCTTTTAAAAATATAGCAGTTATGATGTAACTTTCTTTTTTTTCTTCCCTCTCCCCCATCCTAAAGATGGCTCCATTAAACACAAATACGTATATATGTATAAAACCATTCTATACATACTTTTATTTATCAGATCTTTCTCTGGATGTAGATAGCATCTTCCTTCATATGTTCTTTGTAGTTAATTTGGATACTCATAATAGTCAAAATGACTTAAACTGATTCATTCCCTATTAGAATTGTGTCAAGAACACTAAAGCTTAGAATGATCTGAGACCAGTGAAGAAAATTAAGAACAGAAAGGTGTTTAAAGCTGGAGAGGGGAAAAGAAGAAAATCAAAGAAAGGATAGAAGGGCTGCTCGTGACAGATGGGACAATAACAGAAGGCAGAAAGATTCAACTTTCATTATTCTTCTATTTCCTCAGCCAAAGTCAATAATCTTGGAACTAAAAAAGATGGAATAAAAGTCATTAATAGAGAATGGACACCTAAAACTAAGGTAAGTAGGCAGATAGTAAGAAAGCTCTGGGTTGATCTTGAGAAGTGCAAGTAACCAGGTCCAGATGAATTGCATCCTAGACTACTGAAAAACTTGGTAGGCATAATTACTGAGCCACTTCCAGTGACCTTTTAAATAATGTGAATAGGAGAGGTCCCTCTCAAGACTATAGGAGATCAAATGTTGTCTGGATTTTTAAAAAGAGAGAGAGAAGAGAGTAGATGCTGTAAACAACATTTCTGTGAACTTAATTTGCCTCCGGAAAAATTATTGAATTTATTATTAAGAGTGTAGTTGTCAAACATCTGGAAAAAGAATATGATGATCACAAAGAACTAGCAAGGCTTCACAAGTTATGTTATGCCATGCCACAAGATAACAAAGAAAACAAAAGGGATAGTTGGTTATTGTTGAAGGTATAGTAAACATTCATACCTTGTTGGTGGAGCTAAGACTTAGTTTATTTTTTTTTTAGTTTATTTTTTTAAGAACCTAAAATGTTCATACACTTTAACTTAGAGATTCTACTGCCAGGTATATACTCTAAAGTAGTTTAAAAAAGAAAAAGACCTCCTATGTACCAAAACTTCATACTAGCACTTTTGAGGGAGCTAACAACTGGAAACAAATCACATTATCAATAATTATAACAAAGAGCTAGCATATATATAACTCCTTAAGGTTTATATGGCACTTTACATGCTTTATCTCATTTTATCCTCACAAAAACCCTTTGAGGTAGGTGTTATTTTCTCTATTTTGTAGGTAAGGAAACTAAAACTCAGAAAATTACTATGTAACCCTGGGCAAATAACTTAACCTCTCTCTATCTCTGTTTCCTTATCTGTAAAAGGGAGGTAATAATAGCACCTACCTCACAGGCTTGTTGGATAGATCAAATGGGATAATGTATGTATAGTGCTTTGTAAATCTTAACCTATATAAATTTTAACTATTATCATTGTATTAATTGCTGTAGAGAAACAGAAAACAGGAAAAATATGCACAACTACAATAATAAAAATAGAAAGAGCAATAAAAACAAAACTGAGCATTGAAAATGTGGCTGTTTGTTCAGGAGATTGAGAAAATATATTTCCTTCCTTTTTTTGCAAGAACTATATGTATGGATTATTTTATATATGATCAATATGTTGGCTGATTTTGTTGAACTAGTTTTTTTTTCTCTTTTTATAAAAAATGTTTACAAGGAAAGGCTCAAGGGGTCATGTGGCAGAACTATAATCAAAAATCACTTTTAGGCACCTACTATGTGCCAAGCAGTGTGCATGGCACTGGGGATTAGAAGATTAAAAAAAAGTTATACTAGCTCTTGTTGGACTAGAAAAAATTACTGTCCTCAAGGAACCTACATTCTAGCAGAGGAAATAGCATGCATATATGGAGAATATCTGAAACAAATACAGGATAGTTCTATGAAGGGAAGATCAGGGAGGTATCTATGTTGAAGGTTGCACTTGAGCTGATTCCTGATAAGTGTCAAAGATTCAAAGAGATGGGGATGAGGATGAAGTATACTCCAGGTATGAAGGAAAGCCATTGCAAATTCATGGAAATGGGAGATGGGCCATAGTGTGTGAGGAAAAGCCAGATGGCCAATATGACTGAATTATACAGTGTATGAAGAGGAGTAATGTATAAATAGAATGTAAAAGTGGTAGGAAGAACTTTAAATGCCAAACAGAGGAGTTTATATTTGATTCTGAAAGTAATAATAGAATACAATATGTAATAAATAATAATAAAATACACTGGAGCATATTGAGTGGGGGATGGGGGGTGACATGCTAAGACCTGAGATTAAGAAAAGTCACTTAGGTAACTATTTGGAGAATGAATTGGAACTGACATAGATTCAAGGAATGGAAACCAAAGAGATGATTACAATAGGAAAGAGGAGAAGTGATGAGAGGCCTTACTATGGTGGTGGTTGTGAGTAGACAGAAGAGGATATATGCAAGAGTTGTTTAGGTGGAAACAATAAGATTTGGCACTTGATTGAATATATGGATGAATGAGATAGAGAAATTAAAGGGAATACCTTGATTGTGAGCCTAGATGACTGAAAGATGGCAGTGTCCTCAGTAGTAATAGGGAAGTAAAGGAAATGTACATATTTGAGGGTTCGTAAAATAAGTTCTACTTTGGGCATGTTCACTTTGAGATGCCTATGAGAAAGTTACTTCAATATGTCTGCCAGGTCATGGTGAGAAATTAGTGGTACTCAGGACAGAGATGAGAGCTGAAGATATAGATCTAGATATCATCTGCATAGAGGTGGTAATTGAACATAGGGGAGCTGATGAAGTCACCAAGTGAGATAACATGATAAGAGATCTCAGGATGGAACCTTGGAACATGTCAACACTTAGGGTGTATGACCTGGACAATGATCCAGCAAAGGAGACTGACTACTAGTAGCAGAAAAGAGAAGAAACCAGAGAAAGCAGCATCACAAAAAACCTAGAGAGGTGAGAGTGTTTAGAAGAGGGTTGAGGGTCATCAATAGTGTCAAATAATGCAGAGAGGTCAAGAAAGGTAAATATTGAGAAGAGGACATTAGATTTGGCAATTAAGAGATTTTGATAACTTTGGAAAAAGAAGTTTTGGTTGAATGATCAAGTTAGAAGCCAGATTTCAGAGGGTTAATGAGTGAGTGAGAGTAAGGAAGAAGAAGCACTTAGTGGAAATTGCTTTTTCTTTTTTTTTTTTAATAATTAATTAATTTATTTTTAGTTTTCTACATTCAATTCCATAATATTTTGAGTTTTAAATTTTCTCCCCATCCCACATCTCTCACCCGCCCCAAGACGGCGTGCAATCTGATATAGGCTCTACTTACACATTCATATTAAGCATATTTTCCCATTAGTCATGATGTAAAGAACAATTAGAACTAATGGGAGGAACCACTAGAATGAAGCAATAAAACAAAACAACAAAGGAAAATAGGAGCAAATAGTATGCTTCCATATGCATTCAGATTCCATAGTTCTTTCTCTGTATGTGGATAGCAATTTCTACCATGAGTCTTTTGGAGTTGTCTTAGATTCTTGCATTGCTGTGAAGAGCCAAGTCTATCAAAGTCAGCCATCACACAATGTGGCTGTTACAATGTACAATGTTACTGTGTACAATGTTCTCCTGGTTCTTCTCATTTCACTCTGCATCAGTTCATGTAAGTCTTTCCAGGTTTTTTCATATACCACAACCTATTCAGTCATTCCCCAATTGATTGGCATCCCCTCAATTTCCAATTCTTTGCCACCACACAAAGAGCTGCTATAAATATATTCATATGTGTGGGTCCTTTTCCTATTTTTATGATCTCTTTGGGATACAGACCTAGAAGTGGCATTGCTAGGTCAAAGGGTATGCACAATTTTATAGCCCTTTGAGTATAGTTCCAAATTGCTCTCCAAAATGGTTGGATCATTTCACAACTCCACCAACAATGTATTAGTGTTCCAATTTTTCCACATCTTCTCCAACATTTATCAGAATATCAAGGGACTAATGAAAAGAAATGCAAGGGAAGGTGGCCTAGCTGTTCCAGATCTCAAATTGTATGATAAAGTAGCAATCATCAAAACTACTTGTGGCTAAGAAATAGAGTGGTGGATCAGTGGAATAGGTTAGGTATGCAAGACACAACAGTCAATGACTATACCAATCTACTATTTGATAAATCCAAAGATTCCAGTTTCAGAGATAAGAAATCACTATTTAATAAAAACTTCCGAGAAAACTGGAAAAATGTATGGCAGAAACTGGGCATAGACCAACATCTTACACCCTATACCAAGAGAAAGTCAAAATACATACAGAATTTAGATATATAAGACTGATACTATAAGCAAATTAGAAGAGCAAGGAATGGTTTACCTTTCAGATCTGTAGAGAAAGAAAGAATTTATGACCAAACAAGAGATAGAGAACATTATGAAATGCAAAATGGATAATTTTGATTACATTAAATTAAAAAGATTTTGCACAAACAAAGCCAATGCATTCAAGATTAGGAAGGAAGCAGAAAATTGTGTCTCTGTTAAAGGCCTCATTTCTAAAATATATAGAGAACTGAGTCAAATTTATAAGAATACAAGTCATTTCCCAATTGATAAATGGGTCAAAGGAAATGAACAGGCAGTTTTCAAAGGAAGAAACTAAAGCTATCTAAAGTCATATGAAAAAATGTTCTAAATCACTACTGATTAGAGGCAAATCAAAACGACTCTGAGGTACCACATCACACCTATCAGAATGGCTAACATAACAAAACAGGACAATGGAGATTGCTTTTTCAAAGAATTTGGCTGAGAAAGTGAGGAAAGACTGGATAATACCTCTCAAAGATGGTAGAATCTAATAAATGGGTTTTGTTTATCTGTTTTTTTAATGATGAGGAAGGCTTAGGTATGTTTGCAGGCTTCAGAGAAGGAACCAATAAGTAGGAGGAGAGATTGAAGATGTTGAGAGACAGAGAGAGAGAAAGAAGGGCTGGCAGAGGGGAGGGAAAAAGAAATATGATAGTAGGGGCAGTTTGCTGACATGGGAGGAAATAGAATTGAGAGAACATGTAGAGATGTTTGGTCTTGCTGTGGAGAAGGGCTACTTCTTTATGAAAAACTGGAATAAAGAAGGAGATAGGGTGGGATGATGTCAAGGGATTGTAAGATGAGGAGGAAAGAACAAGGAGCTCTTGGCAAATGTTCTTAATTTTTTCAGTAAAGTATGAAGTAAAGGACCTCAACTGAGAACTTAGTGGAGAGAGGCTATGGGAGGTTTAAAGAGAGAAGGTTTAGAACAGCCATTGTAGAACATGCAATAGAGAATAAATTAGGGAGGAGTAAGAGGACTGTTTGATACTGTGAAGAACTGGTTGAAATTAGATAACCTATATTTATGGTAAATTCAGTTGGCACACTTGCACGACTTTTTCTAACTCTAGTAGCACATGAGTATGAGTAGAGGAAAGCAAATGGGGAGAGACAATAATCCAAGGTTTGGATTTGGAAAGGTGTGAGTAGTGATAGGACAATGGAACAAGAGAATTGAAAGTAGAGAATACTGTGGAGTTGAACTGATTTATTAAAGGGTTAAGACTGAGAAAGGAAGAGTACATCCAGAAGAGGGACTATGGTCTAGGAAAATACTAAGTAGAGGAAGGATTTCATGGCCTTAGTAAGGATAAAGAACAGGTTTAGGTGGAGTAAGGCATAGAGAGAGAGATGGAGTGATAGGAGATTGTGGTCAGATAAAGGAATTTCACAGTTCCTGATCATGGAAGTGGAACTCTTGTAGGTGATGACAAGATCAAAGGTGTGACAATCCCTGTGTGTAGCTAAGATGGAGAGGAGTTGAATAGATTTGAGTTGAGAATTGAAGAGATTGACGACTGGAGAGATAAGAGTATTTTAAAGAGCTTCCACATGTATTTTGAAGTCCCCTAATATTAGGGCAGGAGTTAGGGTGATCTAGCAGGAAAGTGATGTTAAAAGAGATTAAAGGAGACAATGGGGCATGATGCAAAAGGGTCTTGAAATGAATATAAAGGAAGCAGAAGGAATTTCCATTGAAAATTTTCAATTGTTTCCAAAAAGCATGAAGCAAGGACCATAGCTTACATGGTGGATTGGGGCAGGGAGAGGGGAGAGAGGGTACAATAATATTTTAATAAAAGAATGTACTATACAAACAAAAGGCATTAATTAAAAAAAAAAAACTGTTCATGCCAGACTAAGCACATTTAAAAAAAATAAGTTGCTAGATTTGTTTGTTGATCAGGAGAATGATGTTGATATGCTTTACTTAAATTTTAGCAAAGCATTTAAACAACATCTCTCATGCTATGCTTGTGGACAAGACGGAATGATATGACCTGGATTATACTTTTTCCCAATTATAAGTCATTAATTAATTGATGACAACTGTTAAGAACTTTTCCATTGGAGTGCTCTAGGGATTGATGCTTGGCCATTTGCTAGTCAACATTTTTTTTCCAATTTGTTAACATTTTTATTTAAAGTTTTGAGTTCCGAATTCTATTCCTCCCTCCCTCTCTCCCCTACCCTCTTCCTGAGGTGGTAAGCAATCACATATAGGTTATACACGTACAATTATGTAAAACATTAGTCAACATTTTAATAGATGACTCAGATAAAGGAATAGACAGGTTGTTTATTAAACTTGCATAATGACACAAATGTAGGAGGAATAACAAACATGTTGAATGACAGAGTCAGGAGTCAAAAGTGACAGGCTAGAACACTGGGTCAAATTCAATAAAATGAAATTTAATGGGGATAAATGTGCTTGGGCTCAAAAAAAAATCAACTTCAAAAGTATAAGATGGGAAAGGTGAGATATGTCTAAAAAAAAGACCTGGAGGTTTTAGTGTTCACTGTAAGTCAATAGGGTGATAGGCAGCTCCCCACCTTCCCCCCCAAAAAAGCTAATTCAATGTTATACTATATTGAGAGGTATAGAGTTCAAGACTAGGCCAGTTAAAGACTGCAGCATTTTAAGGAGAACATTGATAAACTAAAGAGAACCCAGAGGACTGTGACCAGTGTAACAGGACCCATACCCAAATCACCAAATATGGAAGTGCCTACCTAGGAGATGTCAAAGACCTGCTTCTTCTTCTTCTTCTTCTTTTTTTTTTTAATAATTACTTTGTTTTGTACCTCTCTAAAGTACTTATTACATATTATAGTTATGCTTGTGGGTCATGTCACCATACACAGTAAGCTTCCTGGGACGACTTCCCTTAAAGGGACCATTTCTTATCTGGACTTTGTATTACCATCTGTCTCTGCCAATATTTTTTTTTTTTTTGTTTCTTTAGGCAGTTGGGGCTAAGTGACTTGCCCAGGGTCATACAACTAGTAAGTGTCAAGTGTTTGGTCTGAGACTGGATTTGAACTCAGGTCTTCCTGACTTCAGGGCCAGTGCTCTATCCACTGTACCACCTAGCTGCTCCCTCTGCCAATATTGTCTGCACAAACTTGGCATATAATGTTTAAGGAATTGAGTTATATTTGATGTGGTTTTACTGGAACAATTTAGTTAGGTGGGGGTGAAATTATATTTTCTAATTGTCTTAATATGCATTTCTTTCATTAGAACAAAGGCCTGCTTCTGAGATGGGAGACCTGACATGTGCATGGATATTCTGAGTTATCCTCCCATGTGGGTAAGAGCAGCTTCTTTCCATTGGCTGTATAACTAGAGCTGTCTATATCTTTAAATCCTATCTGAGTGAGGCACACTCCCTTTTCCCCATGGTAGTGTCCCATGGGAGAAGAATTCATTCACTCAGAGCAGTTTACTACGTAGTAAACTGGGGGAAATGGCCACCTTCCTATTGCCCTTAAGCCCTAAGGCCCCAAGAAATGGGTTTAGAATTTTGGTCTTGTTTTGTTTGTCTTCTCCAATTCTAGGTCCAAGGAGCAGAGTCCAGGAGCTTGAGCCAAGGGGACCTTGGAGCCCAGGATTCCATAATGGAGGTTGCAATCAGCCCAGCAGAGAAAGGATCTACCAGCCTGGGGTGAGGTGAAGAGGGTGGGGCTGGCTTTGGATGTGAACTTTGGTTCCTATCTATGTAGGAACAGTTAAGTTCCTGAACCTAATTCCTTTCCTCTCACTTTCCCAGAATCCCTGGAAGTGGTTTAGGGGGGAGCATTATGCCCCCCAGGTGTTAGGGGGAAATGTGAGTATGTCTGTTCAGGGCTTAGCACGGTACCTGGCACATAGTAGGCACTTAATAAATGTCTATTGACTGAGTGATTGGTTGTTCTTGCTATACTTTTGAAGCAATTTTTTTTGTAAAAGCTAACCTAACAATTAAGTGGTTAAGTAGAATTGAGGTGCCTGGCCCTCTAAAATTCGATGAGCTCAATTAGTAGGAACTTGAAACAAGTATGGGGGGTGGGGGGTGGGGGGTAGGGGAGGCCAATTATAAGACTTGTTTTAAAAAAAAAGGGGGGGAGACATTTTAGATCCAGATTTAAAATGTCTCCCCTTCTTTATATTTGTCATTGTTCTTTAGTAAATGGAAAGCAGGAATCTCATAGATTTATGAAAGTTTTTGAGGGCAACTTTAGACCACAATCAGACACTTATATTAATTCCCTGTCTCTTAGTTCCTCCTCCTACAAGTTTAGAGTGAACATATTAGGGAGTAGGAGACAGGAGGGAAAAGGGGGAGGGAGAAAGTGGGAAATTATATGTGTATCTGTGGGACATCTTGCTCAATATAATGGGTCCCTGAAAAAAAACTATGATGGGGGAGGGGAGGCAGTATAATTATATTTTAAATGTTTGTAAGAACTAGATAAAAATATTCTACTGTGAAACATTTTCTAAAATATCTGTAACAAAAACAGGAGCTGCCACATATAAGTAGAACATGAACAAGTAACAATAAAATTGAGACGAGATATCTATATGTGTAAATGGGCTCCCACATGGAGAAGAAATGGAAACTCCAACATGTAAAGGAAATCCATGAATGCAGAGAATGAGATCCTACCTAGAGTATGCCCATACCTGTAAAAGGAATATAATAAACAGTAATAAGGGTCCCAAGTAAAAGTGTGTGTATATGTGTGTGTGTGTGTGTATGTGTAAGTGTATATAAAATATGTCTATGTATGTATAAATACACATATACATAATGGCCTTCCTTGCAAGGTCTGAAAGGGAACAGATTTGATTCTAGAAACACTTAGCTTAAATGTCAAATTTCCTAGTTTTCATATCACTTGTACTTTTATCTCTTCAGCTTATTTTTCCTTAATTGGATTTCTCTTAATATGATGGGTCTGAGTTATTATGACATACAGTTTTCTCTCACCTAGGGTGCATTCAAGGTACCTTTTCCACTCTATCTACTCTTCCTACATGGGCACACTGTTTCCTGTCTATGAGCAATACTTTTCCACTATCAATCAGTATGCCCTGAACCAGAAATTAAAATACATTAGCCCAGATATATTTTGGTGGTCACCCTTTTTATGTCAGGCTACTGAAAAGGCCTAGGAGTTCAAATGGTGTAATAGTTAAGCATGTAGCTAACATCCCAGAAGAGATAAATCACTTATCTCTCAAAGAATTAATCATCCCATGATGCAGCTGGAGACAGGCAGAGTACAGGCCTCCCAGACAGTTCAAATCTCATTCAACTTTCTTATTAGCTTCTGGCAGCCTTTGTCTTATTCCCTTAGCTCCCACCCTCTGTTGTACACAACAGCAGTCTACACAGATTTCAAGAGGGTTTGCAGAGTACTCACAAGTATGGACTCAGCACTCTGACTGCAGTCCCACCCTTAACTCCATCAGAATTTTTTGGTATGATTCAAGTTAAAGTAGGCTGTCCACATCTTTCTTCCCAGAGTCCTCTTAAAAAAAAAAATAGTAGCCTAAAAAGGCCAAGGCCTCCCACTGCATCCAGGGCCATCTCTAGTCGTCCTGAACTATATCTTGCCACTGGACCCAGATGTCTCCAGAGGAGAGAGTGAGGCTAGTGATTCTGCAAAGCCCTCCCTCACTTAAATCCAATTCACTTGCAAGTCATGACCTCTCCTTTCTGATGTCATGGCCCTCTTCGAAAATGAAGGACAAACAACAACCTATGAGTAGCTGCCCCACTGGGGACTCAACTGGTCAGTTCAAGTTCCTTCCTTCCTCCCTCCCTTCCTCCCTTTCTCCCTTCTTCCTTTCTTTCCTCCCTCTCTCCTTTCCTTCCTTCCTTCTTTCCCTCCTCTCCCTCTATCCATATACAGAATCATACTTTTATCTGTGGATGCTCTGCCCAAAGGAATATAAATTTTGATCGCTGAAACCTAGCAAGATGTCTTGGGGTTTATGGCCTAGATCTCTTTTTTATGGACCATGCCTTAAACCCAAATCACTCTGGCTTTCATTGATTGGCCAACAACTGAGTCCTAGACCAAGCCTCACTTGGTCATTGTTTGGATTTTGATGGCTCAGACTGAGTGAAATAGCAATTGTTTCTATTTTGGCCAGAAACCCGGAGGGTCTTCCCCTCCCAGATTAATTTTATTTATTTATTTATTTTTGCTAAGTAAAAGAGGTTATTCTTTCTTTGCCTCATTTTTACCTAGCCTTAATTATTGAATGGGCTTTGCCTCAGACAAACTGAACCCTGGGAAAGACTTTAGCTCAAAAAAGTCAAGACCTTTTTGCATCTGAGGCCATCTCTAGTCATTCTGATCTCTATCTTGCCACTGGACCCAGATGGATCTGGAGGAGAGAATGAGACTGGTGACTTTGCATAGCCCTCCCTCACTTGTATACAGTTCACTTGCAAATTATAACATCCTTCCTGACATCTTGGTCCTCTTAGAGAACATAGGATAAACAACAACAAATGTCCTGAGTCCTTGTGAACTCTGAATAAAAATCTGCTCCATTTCCACAAATTCTTTTGGCATCCTAAATCTTCCTGGAAATACTCCAAGATTGGTGAACTAGGGATTACAGATCATTTTGTAAAGTAAATAGCTATCATCATAATTTGTGTCCCACATAAGTTCAGATTTTTACAAATTAAGTTTGCTTAAAAAGTGTCTTCTAGAGTCTTCCCTATTAAATTAACATTTTGAAAATTAGGCATGAGACTAATACTATTTCAACTTTTATCAAATATCACAATGAATATTCGACTCATGTTTTAAATAATCTTTTAAATGGGTGTGAACTATTGTTTAGTAAAATATGTCCATTGAAAATGGTAAAATATTTGTCTCTTTCACTAACCCACAAAAAAAGATACTGCAAACAAGAAATAAGAATTAGAACTAAGAAACATCAGAGACAGAGGCAAGTTTGAAATAACTTTTTTCCTTTCTTTAATTTATTTTTAGTTTTCAATAATCATTTCCATAAGCTTTTGAGTTTTAAATCCCCACTTCCTCCCCAAGCAATTTGATATAGGCTCTACATATACATTCCCATTAAACATATTTTCACATTAGTCATGTTGTAAGGAAGAATTAGAACCAATAGGAGGAACCACAAGAAAGAGGAAACAAAACAAAACAGAAATAAAAAAAGAGCAAACAGTATGCTTTAATCTGCATTCAAACTCCATAGTTCTTTCTCTCGATGTGGATGGCATTTTTCATCATGAGTCTTTTGTAGATGTCTTAGATCCTTGCATTGCTGAGAAGAGTTAAGTCTATTACTATGTACAGTGTTCTCCTGGTTCTGCTTATTTTACTCACCATCAGTCCATACAAGTTTTTCCAGGTTTTTCTGAAGTCCACTTGCTCATCATTTCTTATAGCACAATAGTATTCCATTACATTCATATACCACAACTTGTTCTTCCATTACATTCATACACCACAACTTGTTCAGTTTGAAATAACTTGGTAAGGTTTTGTGGGTTTTTTTCCCCCTTGTATTCTTGGACTCAGAGAGTGAGAAGAAGGAATGAGATGTTAGGTCTCATAAGCAAGTAGGATAAGTTCATTTAGAAGCTAGAACAATACAGAGGGCTTTCGGATGCACGTTGAGGTGGTTGGTAATGTGTCATAATGTAATGTTGTTCTGGATTGGAACTAGTAACCAGAGGTCAGAAAGAGGTCCAGTTTTGTCTCATATTTGTTCCCTGATATCCTTATTGCTGTGTGGTAGGCCTATAGTCACATCATAAAAATGAAAGTATAGGCCACTGAACAACTCACATGGCTAAGTGATGTTTATTGAAGAATATAGCAAAACTGATTGGATCTTGAAATGAAAGAGAAGAGTACAAGAACATGACCACCTCCAAAGTTACTTCAAGGTGCATGATGAATTTTCTGATTTCTCCATCAAGAGTGAATTTCTATGCCTTCGGAAGGCAGGTAGCATAGATTTAATTGTCCATTACTGTTATTGTATATTTCATTCTGGAGTGCTTTCTCTGAATTCTCCCCATCTCCTTTTTGAAAATTCTAGTGTTTCAACTGTTGGGAAGATAAGGTGTTATATGTTGCGTATATCACACAGAAATCAAGTAACACAGATATCTAGTTGAGTATTTAGTTTTACCTTAAAACAGGCCCTCAAACATTATCAGCATCTATCAATAATTATGATCAGAATTATGATCAGAATTAATGACTGACAACAGTCACTTATTAGCTATAATTCACTTTACTCCCTACCCATATACAAGTGCCAAGGTTTTTAGTTAAATTGTATAGATAGATAGAAGAACCATTCTTACTTGTTGGTTCCTCCCAGAAATATCTAACTCATGGGTTATGAAGACTCTTAAAAGAGGTGAACTAATACCAAGAATTCTGCAATTTCATTTTTTCAATGGTTAAGGAGTTTAAGAAAGGAGGGATGGTAGCATTTATTCAGAGTCTACTATGTGTCAAGTACTATGTTAAGCACATTACAAATATTACCTTATTTGATCCTCACATAACCCTGAGAGGTAAGTGCTATTATTACCCCCATTTTACTGTTGAGGAAACTGAAGCAAACAGAGATTAAGTGACTTGCCCAGGGTCACACTATTGAGGTTTGGGGTGCTGGAACCAAAGTAGTGAAACATGGGTCCTGCTGGAATGAATTAGACCTAAGCCTTCTTTCAGCTAAAGACAAGGTTTATTAAAACACTGATAGTGGGTGGGCATGATTCTAACAATCTGCCATATTGGCCAGACTCTTAAGGGATCTGAGCACCTCAATGGAGGCAAGATGGATCTTATAAGCAGAAAGACTGTGGGAGGGATCTAGCAATGGCCAAGTAGTCTGGAATGACTGGGAGAAGAGGTCTAGGGAGGATCTTGATGGGGGTGGACAGTAGGCTGGGGTGACTGGGTGGAATGGGATCTAGATAGAATCAAGGGTAGGAAATAGCCAGGGGCTCCCCAGAGGTAACAGAAAATGAAGGGCTGGGCAAGAGAGAACTGGAAGATTGGGAGTAGGCTACAATGAAAGGCCAGTTGACTGAAATGGGTCACTGGGTCAAAGGCAAAAGTTAGAGACTTGATCAAGTGGGAAAATTCAAGGAGAGTTCAGAGGGGGTTTCCAGGGCCTGCCTATACCCTGTCAACACAGGTAGTAAGTGTCTAGAGCCAAATTTGAACTCAGTTCTTCTTGACTTCAAGCCCAGCACTCTGTTCACTGTGCAACCTAGCTGCCTTTGAGCAGGCAGGGAACGCATTTCACTAAACCAAAGATTTAATTTTTAGCTTGTAGCAACTTGAATATTGTTTGATCCTTAGAGTACATCTAAGTTTTTGGAGTCCTTTTTAAACCAAAACTTAATACCCAACCTAACATTCACTAAAAACAGTGGGGCCTAGTGCAAAGACTCCTGAACAGATTCAGACAGAGTGGTTTCCAATTTTTAAATCATAGATTCAAGGTTAGAAGGAACCTTAGAGGTCATCTAATGTGGTCTCCTGATTCAGCTCACACTGTTATAAAGAAGACCCCAACTCAGTTCCGAAGACTGGTGTCTCAAAGACTTTTTATTAAAGAGGTTGAAGTGTGTCTTTTCAGTTCTCGGGAGAAACGGGCACACCTTCTTGAAGGGGAGAGTGCACCGAGTAAAGAAGCCAGAGCAAGGTTTATAGTTAGTAATTGCCTAACTCCTCCCTTTTGGATCAGGATTGGTCCTAAAACTTCTGGGTTACAATCTTCATTATATGTCCCACCCTTAACATACATTATGTGCATGGAATTGGGTTGTCACTCTCCCCCCTGGACAGAGAAGTTAGCCTGTCTGTGCTGATTTCTTATCTACTTATGTGGAAACTTAACTCTTCCATTTTTCACAACACCAAACTTAAGCTTTACCTGATATCTTCAACTGCTATTGCCCTCCCTTTCAGTCCCCATCATCTTCTAACTATTTTGCACAGAGGCATATTGTCTACTGCAATTGAATGTAAGCTTCTTAAGGGCAGGGTCTGTTTCACTTCTGTCTCTGTATCCAGTCTGGCACGTAGTTGGCACTAAATATATGCTTGTTGATTGATTCACAGATGAAGAAATAGATGGCGAACAGGTTTAGGTAAATTGCTTAAGGTAAAATGGGTTGTAAGTGGAACCCACTTTACCTCAAGAATAGTAACAGCTCCTGACTACGATGAAATCAACAGGTCTAGAACATCCCGTTTCCATCTCAGCTCCCCTCCCCACTCCCCCCCCATCCTTCCAGCTTCAACAAATTCTTTGTTCCTTTTATTCCCTACACCTCCATCTCTCTTCCTTCAGGTTGAGCCCTAAGGGGAAACAGCGAAACCAGAACACATTACTGTACCTTAATGAATAGAGAAGCGACCGTGGGAAGCCTGGGGATCTCCATTTAAGTCCACCTATCAATGAATTGTCACCAATTATTCGACTTTGCTATGAGGAGCGATCCCTGCCTTCCCCAGCCCTAAATTGCGGCCTCCTCCTCCTGCCCTAAAACGATTATTTTTGACGGCGTTCTGTTACGTCTGGGTGTTACATATATACACCTTAGTGCAGTTTTAAGTGCTTAAATTTTAAGGTTTAATAGCTTAAAACTGCACCGACTTTTGGGACATCCTGCATAAAACTAGAAGCCAGAAAACCCATTCAAATAAAGCATTTTCGAATACTTAATAACTTATAGGAATGTTTATTAACTTATTTTACTTCTTTGTGTTCTATTTCTTTTTTTCGTATTACTTCGAAAGTGACTTAAAATATAGTATTTCTGGGGCTGGATACATGCCTTCCCGCCCATGGCACATTCTGCAGCCGCCCCAAACCTCAAGCCCCTTCCAGACTGGTGGCCGGGCCTAGCTCAGGTCCAGAGGTCCTTCCTTCACAGCCTAGCTCACAAGCTCCGGGTCCTTGCATACCACGCTAGACTGCAGGAAGTCATTGCACTAAGGACTGGCGAACTACAACTCCTACAAGGCCCCACGCCGACGTGTCGTTTCACCAGCCTTCCCACTCTCTTCTTCTCTCTACTGCCTACAACTCCCACAACCCCTCGCGGTCTGCCCAAGACAGAGATAAACTAGTCTAGGCTAGGGGGCCGAGTGGGCGGAGGGATGGAGGAAAGGAAGAAGAAGAGGGCGCGGCTAGGAAGTGCGTCAGAGGAGGAGCGCGGGAGGCGGGGCCGCCGCGGGACAAGCGGCAGGAAGTGCGGGATGGTGGCGGCCCAGGAGGATGGGCGGTGAGTCTACCTCTGCTCGAGGTGTGACGGGACGGGTCGGGGGAGAGAGGTGCGAGAGACCCCGGCCAGCGGTGCAGGTCGAGGGCGCAGTGAGCGGGGAGGGGGGCTCCTCTCGTCGCCGCTCCCCGCTCTGATGGTCCCGGCGGCGTCGGGCGGGTCTTGGGGTCACCAGGTACGGGGGGGGGCGGTGGGGGACGGAATCAGTGATCGCCCAGAGGTGCCCCGAGGGGAGGGGCCGGGGCGGGAGGGGAGGGAAGGGGGAGAGGGAGGAGACCGCCTCTCCGTCCCCTCCCACTCTGCCCCCCTGCTGCATAGCTGGGTTGGGATGCGGACCGGGCACTTGGGGGACCCGCCCGACCTCTCTATCCACTGCCTGACATGAGAGCCCACTGGGCGCGGGCACCCTCCTAGGTACGGTGGCCTTTTAAAATTATTTAAGAATTCCAAGATGAGAGAGACTGGAGGAAAAAAGCGTGGAATCGAGGTGAATCTTAATTCTTGTAATTGCCGGGGTCCCCTCCTCATCCGTCCTCATCCCCTGAGTCACTTCCCGATCTTCACATCTCTGCTGTCTAATTTTGTGAGGCTGTTATTGTGATCCTCTGTAAGTTGTTTTGTGCTCGTTTGACTCAGCTTTGTCCACCTTAGTCATTTTACTGCACTGCTACTGAACCCTGCCTCTGGCTGAAGGTCAGTAGGCAATATTAAATATTTATGTAATTATAGAAAACTTGTTTCCTTCCCTGAGGATTTGTAGGGGCAGCGGGGAGACAGAGAGAGGAGATGTATATGAGAGTTTGCAAAATTGTAGGGGCTTGGGGAGGCAGGGATGAAGGTGAAGAAATTGGTGAGAGGTTTGCCTTGAAATGAATTAAAGGTGAGATTGGCAGCTAAAATAATTGTATGTTTATTGTCCTGTTTGTCATCCTGAATTTAGAACAACCTTCCCCGCAGGGTTTACTAAGCATTATTTTTTATCCTAAGTCTCTTTAAGGAAACTTTCCTAGTTCATTGGAATCAGGTTCTGACTTCCATTGCTTCCTTTCCCTGAGGAAGTCTGAAATTCATCATTCAAGCAGAAACATAAAGCTTCACTAAACTTAGATGTAAATTAAATTCAGAATTTTTAGAATTCACTAGCTCTACTATTAACTGTGGTTTTATCTGTATTTACTTATTTGTTTGCCAAATGTAGAGAGTCTCTCTAGTGGAAACATGGAACTAGGAGTCATCAGGACCTAGGTTTTGTTCATGACACTACTAGTAATCATCACTGTGACTTTTGGCAAGTCATTTAGTTCTCTGGGCCTCAGTTTCTTCATATGTAAAATGGGAAGATCCTTCTCTGGTATTTTGTGATCATATGAGATGTATGTAAATTTCAATGCTGTCTATTTTAGTTCTGCAACTGAAGGACTGGGATTCTATATCCCTGTGCATATTGTGATTTAATAAGTACTTTATTATCATAATAACTTTTCTTTAAAATATCTCAATCAGAGTATGTGTGACCCTGTGGACCATACTATCCTTGGAGTTTTCTTGGCAAAGATAATGGGGTAGTTTGCTGTTTTCTTCAGCAGTGGATTAAAGAATACAGAGGTATAATGACTTGCCCAGGGTGATGTCTGAGTTTAGATTTGAACTCAGATCTTCCTGACTCCAGGCCCAGCACCCTATCCACTGTGCCACCTAGCTGCCTTGATTAGTTAAGAAATTAGACAAGTATTTACCTGGTTTCTTATCCTTAATCATACTGTATTGTGCTAGAGAATTTAAGGGATGAAATTTAGACGTGAAATTTTAGTCATGGTCACAAACATTGGGCCGGATTAGGCATTCTTAACATTTTTCATGTCATGGAGCCTTTTGACTGGCTCATGAAGCCTGTGGACCCTTTCTCAGAAGAATGTTTTTAAGTAATTGAATAAGTGCCAAATTTTAATTAAGAGGTTAGTGAAAATAAGGATGTAATTTATTTTTTTCCTATTCAAGTTCATGGACCCCCTGAAATTTATCCTCAGATCCTAGACTAAGAAATTGAGCTAGAGAATGAGGAAAGAAATTGTATGATAATGAATATTTTAAAATATTTAATATTATAGAAAAAAAGCTGATTTGATTTCTTGAAAGTTAACTTTTCTGTTTCCCTTCTCTTTTTTCCTTTTAAAAGCAAAAAAACCCGAATGCCAGAATGGATAATCGTTTCGCCACAGCATTGGTAATTGCTTGTGTGCTCAGCCTCATTTCTACCATCTATATGGCAGCATCAATTGGCACAGATTTCTGGTATGAATATCGAAATCCAGCACCAGAAAATTTCAGTGATTTAAACAAAATCAGGGATGAATTTTTTGACAGTGATCCTGACGAAAAGTCTTATAATGACTTACTTTTCCGGTATAATGGCACAGTGGGATTGTGGAGAAGGTGTATCACTGTGCCCAACAAAAGCACACCTTGGTATAGCTCTCCAGAAAAGACAGGTATATACATATATATATATATATATATACTCTTTTTTAAAAATTTTCTTTACCTATGCCAAATAATTAACTTTGGCTTTGTAGTTTCTAGATGAAATCTGAAAATATTTTAATTCTTTATTTTGGACAATTTGTGGCTTATTTCTTTGGATCTCCCACAGTGCTTACCCCAGCATCCTTGACCATATTGAATTCAACACAAATTTATTGAAGTGCCATTTGTGTTCAGACCACTGCCCTAGGCTCTGGGGGAGGTTTCATGGTTAAATAAGACACAATCCTTGCTCTTTTAGTGCTTACAGTTTAGTAGGGGGATGTGAAAAATGCAAGTAACTTTATTACAAAATATTACATGATAGTAAATGTGTGAGAGGGCCAGAGTCCTGTGACAGAGCTGAGAGGTAAATAAACTGACTAGAGAGAACCCAGAAAGATTCATGAAGGATCATGAAGAATTAGCTTGGCTTTAAACAATGGGCAGGATTTCAGCAGCTAAAGGAGTTTTAGGGGTGTGGTGTGGTAAATTGCATTATAGACTTTGTGAATAGCATGAGGCAAGACAGAGGCAAGAGAGCATGGAAAGTATATGGGAAACGCTAATCTAATTTGGCAGGAGCCTAGAGTAGGAGAGTGGTAAGAAATCAGGCTGGAAAGATAGGGTATCTTGCATGTCATGTGCAAGGCTGACAATTTTTCATTTTGTTTTTTTGGAAGTGAGAAATCATGGAATGGTTTTGAGTAGAGAAATGACGTCAGCAAATTAATCTGGCAACAGTGTAAAGGATGGATGGGGTGGAGACAGGAAGTGAAGGTAGGAAGACTAGTTAGGCCATTGCATTAATCAGAAGAGGTGGTAATGAGAGCCTGTAGTAGGGCGGTAGGTAGCAATGGGAATAGAGAGTACCAGTGATAAAATAGTTGTAGAATCCTTAGGACTTAGTAACTAAAGGGAAATGAGAGATGAGGGAGAAAGAAGGGTCAAAGATAAATCAAAGTTTTGAACATAGGAGACTTATGTTTTGGGGAAAGATGTTAAACCTGTTTTTGGACAAGTTGAGTTTGAGATGCTGGCCTGACATCTCAATGTAGATGCGTGTCTCTAACTCTCGAAAGAGTTCAGGGACAGCACTATAGATTTGATTGTCATCTTTATAGAGGTGATATCCAAAACTCATAATAAATGATATTGCCAAAAGGGAGAGAATAGACAAAAAGAAAATGACTCAGTAGGACCTCAAGTATTCAAATCAGTGAACTTACATTGAGAAATTAACATTAAAGTCCTCTGTGCCTTTCGTCTCCTACTTCTTAAACTGCTTTCCATGAGCCTCACAGAAATTGTGAACAAATGGTTTTAAAATCTGTCACAGAGTACGTACCTGAAAATATAAAGACTGAAACCCTAAACCAGTATGAAGGAAGTAGACTAACATCCAAAATCGAGCCTACAAATATTTATCTCTACTCTCTTTTAGGCAATTGCCATGTGAGGTCTGTTATTATTTTGGAAGACATGATTTGGTCAACTCTACATACAAATTCATATGATAATCAGTAGTTTTTTTGTGAGGCATTGTAGAACCCTTTGGTTAAAAAACAGGAAATAGAAGTAATGTGAAAGGAAAAAGTAATGCTTAGCCATGGCTACTTCTTTTGGCATTTCTGAATGGAAGCACTGAATTCCTTGTGGTGGTTGTCATTTCAGAACATCAGGCTTGAGTAAGAATCAGTGAGGTGCTAAGTGTTATAGTATAGGAAGTCAAGGGGAGGGCGTTTGGTAAAGAATGGAGAATGACAAAGAATGTTGAACAGAAGCTCTCCAATATCTTACAGTTGTATTATATCTGTCTTTATTTCTCTTCCCTTCCTTTATTAAAAAAAAAAACAACACAAACTTTCTTAACAGTGTTTTAAACCTGCTAGTGACAATCAGAAATAACATTCATAGGTTTACACCAGTGCTGCACTAAATTTTGTAGTCGCTCCACATTTCCATAATTTTGAAATTAGTTACCAAAAGGGTTGATTGTTGAATGTTTGTGATGAAAAGAACAAGTAATCATTGTTACTCTTGTTCCAGAGTCATCTGACTTGATCACAGAATGTTTCAGTTTTACACTGTCAGACCAGTTCATGGAGAAGTATGTAGAGCCTGGAAACCACAACACTGGGATTGATCTACTCCGGACCTGTGAGTAATTTGATAATAGCAGAAGGTTTGGGGAAAAAAGGGAGGAGAAAATTTTCTCCATCCTATGTTACATTCATTTAGTAAATGAGAGAAAAGTTTTCCTCTGTAGAGGGAAAAGTCTCACTTTTACTGCTTAGCAACTTAGACAAGGCACTTACTTAGCTGCCTTGAAAATAAACTTCCTCATCTGTAAAATGGGGTACAGTAATAATATCCATTACCTCCTTCAGCAGATTGAGGATCTAGTGCAAATTTATTTATTTTTTATTTATTTTTATTAATTTATTTTGATTTATCAACAATCATTTCCATAAGCTTTTGAGTTTTCAATTTTTCTCCCCTCCCTCCCCAAGATGGTGCACAATCTGATCTAGGCTTTACATATACATTTCTATTAAACATATTTTCACATTAGTCATGTTGTAAGGAAGAATTAGAACCAATAGAAGGGACCACAAGAAAGAGGAAACAAAATAAAACAGAAGGAAAAAAAAGAGCAAATAGTATGCTGCGATTTGCATTCAAACTCCATAGTTCTTTCTTTGGATATGGATAGCATTTTCCGTCATGAGACTTTTGGAGTTGTCTTAGATCCTTGCCCAATGCAAATTTATTGAAAAGTAGAGCCATAGTGGTACGGTGAAAAGAGCAATTCAATTCAACAAGCATTTTTCAGGTAACTCCTATGTGTCAGGCATTATGCTAAGTGCACAAAGAGAAAAAAGAAAAACTCTGCCCCCTTACATTGGGTGGTGGGGGTGGGGTGGAGATAGTACCTCCGGTACCAAGAAATAGAGGAGAAACCTTCTAAGCATGGGGGCAGCTTTTGCAAAGGCAGAGAACAGAGATGAAATCTCATGTACAGGGAATGGCAAGTAGGCCAGTTTGGCCAAAATACAGAGCACGTGAGGAGAGTAAAGTGTAATAAGCCTAAAAAGGTAAGATGGAACCAGATGTGAAGGGCTTTAAATTCCAAGCAGATAGTTTGCATTTTATCCTAGAGGCAGTAAAGAACTATTGAAGATAATTGAACAGAGAAGTGACTGTCAAAGGTGATCCACAAAGGTGGATGACAGATTGGAAAAGTGAAGGGTTGAGTGGTGGGAGACTGGTTAGAAGACTCTTAGAATAGTTGGTTTTGAGAGGTAATGAGGACCTAAAGTAGGATGATTGTGGAGTAAGTAGGGAAAGGGGGATGAATTTGAGAGATGCTGGGATGATAGAATTGATAGGATTTGGTAGCATCAGCTATGAATATGGAATGAGGGGTGAGAGCAGAGAGATGAGAATGACTCCTAGGTTGCAAAATTGAATAACTAGAAGGATGATGGTGTCTTTTAAAGAAATAGGATTAAAAAGAGTGCTAAGTTTAGGGGGAAAGATCATATGATCATGTTGAGTTTGAGATGCTTACAAGACATGTAGGTGAAGATGCCTAACAGGCAGATGGAAATGTAATATTGAAGCTTAAGAAAATGATGAGGGTTGGATGTATTGCTTTGCATGGCTTCTGAATGATATGAGATAATGTGGAACCCATGGGAGTGGATGAGATCACCAAGAGAAAACACATAGAATAAGAAAAGAAGGGAGCCCCACACAAAGCCCCACACTCATGCTTGGGGTGGATAAGGTGGGGCATGAGATGCTAAGAAGGATTGGTCAGGCAGATAGAAGCTACAAAACGAGGGTCATAAAAACCGAGGGAGGAGTATCCAGAAACTAAAGTAGCAAATGTGGCAAGAAGGTGAAGAAAGATGAGGACTTAGAAAAAGGCTTTGGATTTAGCAATAAAGAAGTTATTGTTTATCTTGAAATGAGCAGTTTCATTTAAGTGGTGGGCTTGAAAGCCAGATTAGAACAGGTTGGAAAGTAAATTGGGGGGAAAGTGGCCACAACCATTGTCAACAGCTTTCATTGAAAACCAGGCTTTGAAAGGAAGGAGAGAGTAAGAATGATAGCCCAAGAAAATAGTGACATCAGAGGGGGTCGTTTTAAGGATTGAGAAAAACCTGAGCATGCTTGAGCTCAGAAGAAGCAAGTTGGTTAAGAGTTTGAAAGTTAGGGAAATAGAACAGATCATTGTGCAAGGAAGTTCCCATTAGGAAATGGGAGTGGATTAATTACAACTAAAGGGGTTCCTATTGGCAAGAGGAAGAAGAACTGTCTTTTACTTGGAGATGCAGAGGAGGAGAAAATCAGAGAATGGTGTTAAAGTGATTTGAAGGGTAGAACTGGGGTCACAGGGGAGGTCTCCAATTTTTTCAGTGAAATATTATGTGAATGCCTCTGCTGAGAGGAAAGGAGTTAAGGGGATAGTGTAGGTGGCTTCAGGGTAAAGGTTTGGAACAGCCTGGGAATGTGATAAATTGTAAGTCAGAGAAGAATAAAAGGATTACTGTGTAGTAGTAAGGGCCCAGTTGAGATTATATAACAAAGTTGAAGTGATTTGCACTGGATTTGGAGTCAGAAGACCTTGGTTTAAATTTTGCCTGTGCCACCTAATACATGGGTGACCTAGGACAGTTCATATAACCTCCCAGTTCTCTCATCTGTACAATTAGTTGGACTTGTCCTTTCCAACTTAAAATCTGTTATCCTTTGCTTTTTGTTTCTACATTTGCAATTCTTCAGTTAAGTGTTGTGATTTTCTTGGAGATCCATTATGAACTTTTGTGTTAGGAAGTAATCTATTCTGATCAAAGTTTGGATTCTTTTGATGATGATTCACTGGAAAAGACCTATCATTTGAACTCCTTTCTTATCTTATCAATCAATATTCTTAACAATAAAATTGTTTTTTGGAGACTAGTAATATGGAAGAAATTTCTACTTGAGAAAATGCTGTAGCAAGATAATAACCCCTCTCTCTCTCCCTTTCCTCCCCTTCCCTCTTTCATTCCTCTTTTTCTATCCACCCTTTTTTCTCTCTGTCAGATCTTTGGCGCTGCCAGTTCCTTTTGCCTTTTGTTAGCCTAGGTTTGATGTGCTTCGGGGCTTTAATTGGACTTTGTGCTTGTGCCTGCCGGAGTCTGTATCCAACTATTGCCACAGGAGTCCTTCATTTCCTTGCAGGTGGGTGTCAAGTTTTACTGTACTTGAACTCTTAACCTTAATGTAAGGGCCTTTCAGTTGTGGGTCATGAACTGCCACATTCCAGTGTCATGTTGAGACATCAATGATTTCACTACCTCACTATGTTCTATTGTTTTTCCTTTTCTCTCTTCTACTCCCAATCAGGTTTGTGTACGCTTGGCTCAGTAAGTTGCTATGTTGCTGGTATTGAACTACTTCATCAGAAACTGCAGCTGCCTGAGAATGTGAAGGGTGAATTTGGTTGGTCCTTCTGCTTGGCCTGTGTCTCAGCCCCCTTGCAGTTCATGGCTGCTGCCCTCTTCATCTGGGCAGCCCGTACCAACCGAAAAGAGTACACACTAATGAAGGCCTATCGGGTGGCATAGATAGGCCGCCGCATCAATTACAGTTTGCTGCGCCACAGTATTTTTTAATGTCCATCTTTTTCTCATATTTTTCTCTTCCCTCCCCTACCTTTTTTCTCCACTGTGGACACAATTCCATTCTGGATGTTTATTTACATTGTTTTCTTACCTTTAACTATAAATTTGTGTGGTGGTCTTTGAGAAATCACACCCTTTGTATGTCCAAATAGATCTGGATCCAGAATCCAGAAAAGAGAGATTAGTGGATAAAGAGCATAAATTTAGGTAAAGAGTATCTGTCACCTGAGTGAGACTGATGTAAAGCACATTTAGCAAGTAACAACTTCTAAGAGACTTCTAAAAGTACCCTATTTTGTGGTTTTCTATTTTAAAAGAAGTCTCTTATGATTCTCATAACTGTAGTTTTGCTGTTGTGTAGAGCCTATCGTCCATGAATATTAGTGCTGTTTTCAAATGTTATTTAAACTTTATGTGATGGAGAAAAGATGAATCATATTTGTCTAACCTTTGAAGTGTATGTAGCTTCATCTAAGGTGAAATACAGTAGCTCTTTTAAATTGCACTGTGCATAAAGTCTTTGAGCAAGGATGTGAAAATAGATACTTTAGTTGCAGCTGTGTTTATGGATCTGTACTATCAGTACTGAAAGTTAGCTCAAAGAGCAGAGTATTAACTTCTTACTTCCTTTAAAATTTCAGTGTCCTGGGTCACTTCCCTCATGCACAGTCCTACTGAAAGATAACAGTGCTTTCTAATAGTGTGTTGGGGTCAGGGAATTGAATGCCCCAACTGCCATCTAAGTCAGTTAAGTACTCTCTCAGAACATTTATCCAGAAGAAGGTTATTTCTCAAGATCTAAGGCTTTGGCTGCCTATTAACAACTGTGGTCTTTATTTCCTGTGATGGAACGAGGTGCCTTTCCTCACCAGACTTCTTCATGGACATCTCAGCATTGTTTAATTTCTTCTAATTCAGTTATTTTTATAAATATGTGTATAAACTTTTGAACTTTTAAAATCTTATTTATTTATTCCATTTCTGTAGAACATGGCAGGTTTTTTAAAGAAAATGTAACATAGTAATTTCTTACCACGTCCCAAATCTGTTGTTTAAAAAATAAAATTGGATCAGAAAAGAAATTGTCAGATGTGTTTTTTGAGTGCCCCTAACTTAGAATGATGAAGAGAAATGAAGAAATCAAAGTGAACATGCAACACTAGTGAGAAGGGAAAGGGTCAAAGGACAGAGGACAAACAGGAGGAAAAATAGGATGGAGGGAAATACACAGGTAGTAATCATAACTGTGAATGTAAATAAGATGAACTCTTCCGTGAAACAAAAATGGATAGCAGAGTGGATCAAAAACCAGAATCCTACAATATGTTGTTTACAAAAAATACTTGTGAAGCAGAAATACACGCAGAGTAAAAGTAAGGGGCTGGAGCAGAATCTGTTATTCTTCAGCTGAAGTGAAAAAAAAGCAGGGGTAGCAATCGTGATCTCAGACAAAGTAGAAGTAAAAATAGACCTAATTGAAAGAATGAGGAAGGAAACTACATCTTGCTAAAAGGTGTCATAGACAGTGAAGCAATATTGATACTAAACATGTGCACCAAGTGGTACAGCATTCAAATTCTTAAAGGAGAAATTAAGTGAGTTATAGACATTATGAAATATAAAATAGATAATTTTGATTATATTAAAATAAAAAGCTTTTGTACAAACAAAGCTAATGCAACCAAGATTAGAAAGAAAGCAGAAAGCTGAGAAACATTCTTTACAGCAAGTATCTCTGATAAAGGCCTTATTTCTCAACAGAACGGAGTCAAATTTGTAAGAATACAAGCTATCACCCAACTGATAAATGGTCTAAGGATATTTATAGGCGGTTTTCAGAAGAAGAAATCAAGGCTACAGGCATATGAAGAAGTGCTCTTGATTAGAGAAATGCAAATTAAAACAACTCTGAGTTACCATCTCAAACCTATCAGATTGGCTAATGGGACAAAAAGGGAAAATGATAAAAGTTGGAGAGAATATAGGAAAATTGGGACACTAATACACTGTTGATGGAGTTGTGAACGGATCCAACCATTCTGGAGAGCGATTTGAAACTGGCCAAAAGGGCAACCAAACTGCATACCTTTTGATTTAGCAACACCGTTACCAGGTCTGTATCCCAAAGAGATCACAAAAAAGGAAAAAGGACCTACATGTGCAAAAAGTATTTAAAGCAGCCCTTTTCATGGTGGCAAAATATTGGAATTTGGGGGGATACCCATCAATTGGGGAATGGCTAAACAAGTTGTGGTATATGAATGTAATAGAATAATGTGCAATAAGAAAAGACGAACAGATTTCAGAAAAACTTGGAAAGCCATACTTGAACTGATGCTGATTGAAGTGAGTAGGACTAGGAGAATGTTGTATACAGTAACTGCAACATTGTACGATGAACAACTGTGAATGACTTACCTATTCTCAGCAATGCAGTGATCTAAGACAATTACGAAGGTTTGCTATTCACTTCCAGAGAAAAAACTGGTGGATTCTGAATGCAGATTGAAGCATACTTTTTTCACTTACTTTATTCTTTTTCCTGGCTTTTTTTCCCCTTTTAATTTGTTTCTTCTTTCACAGCTGTGACTAATACAGAAATATGTTTTGCATGATAACACATATATCCTATATATATGTGTTATATATATATATATATATATGTATAACCTATATCAAATTGCCTACCATTTTCACAAGAGGGGAGGGGAGGGAAGGAGGGAGAAAAATTTGGAACTCAAAGTCTTGTAAAAATGAATGCTGAAAATTGTCTTGGCACATAATTTTGGGGAAAAATAAAATATCAAAAAAATAAAGTGAGTATGCATTACCAGTCTGCATTACCAGAGCATAAGCTTAGGCTATTGAATTGGATTGGCCTTTTCATCCAAATAGTAGACAACTTATTTTCATCTTATTACCCAGACCAGTGTGGGATTCCAATTCAGTAATTCGTTTGCTTTCTAGTTTTTTTAAATTTTTAAAAAATTTCTCCACCTACAGTGAATGAATCAGTCAATCAACAAACATTTATTCAACACCTACTATATACCACATACTGTTCTAGGTACTGGGGATACAGATAGAATGAAATAATCCCTATTCTCAAATTCAAAAGAAAGCAAAATTCAAATGGCATTATTGCATATCCTTGCCTCTTCAAATTCCTTGTGATACTTTGCCTCTGCTCAGTGAACACAGGCAAACAAGCCTAGTCCTTTTTAAAATTAATTTTTTTTAGTTTTCAACAATCACTTCTATAAGTTTTTGAGTTTTAGATTTTCTCCCCCTCACTTCCTGCTTCCCTCCCCAAGATGGTGTGCAGTCTTATGTAGGCTCTACATATACATTCCTGTTAAACATATTTTCACATTAGTCATGTTGTAAAGAAGAATTAGAACCAATAGGAGGAACCACAAGAAAAAAGAAACAAAACAAAAAGCAAATAGTATACTTTGATCTGCATTCAAACTCCATAGTTATTTCTATGGATGTGGATAGCATTTGCCATCATGAGACTTTTGGAGATGTTTTAGATCCTTGCATTGCCGAGAAATAAGCCTACTCTTAAAGGCACATATCTCTGCTATATACAGCATTTGTAAAATAAAAAGGATTTACAGCAGCATTCCCTTATGGCTAAAGTGACAATAACATTGTATAAAATGTTTTCACTCTTTTTAAAAAGATTCTTGAATTGCCAATTTTGTAAGCAAATCATCTGGGCAATTGACATATAACAAAGTATGTTGTTTCTTATTAAATTTCTTTCTTTTTTTGTTACATTGTTTTACTCTTTAACTTGTAATAGTCACACACCACTTTAGAAAATGTGAAAGGTACCACTTGTTTTTAATAGGGTTCCAAACCTCCAGGCAAATTCCCAAGACCAATTTTGTGATCTTTATACATAATTCTTATGTGATGAATTCCCCACTAGGCCATTTATTGGTTGTGGATACCTGGGTTTACAACTAAAGCATATACCTGCTTACTACCTTTCAAAAAGAGCAGCAAACGATCATTAATTATGAAGTATTTGAGTAGCCAATTTCCTTCCTCTTCTTGACTTGGATACTTTCTAACTTTGATATCTTTATTAGAGTGTGGGCAGGAAAAGGTACATAAATTCTGGGCAACTTTGAGTAATGATTGGTCTGTTTAAAAACCAATAGTAATTAGGGAAGGGGATGAAACTTGGCTAAAAAAGAGACTTCTGTGTGAAGGAGGGATCTCTTTTTAAAAAATTGTTTAACATTTGTTAAAATCTTTGAGTTCCAAACTCTCCCCCCTCCCTCACCCTCTCACCTCCCATGGAGAAGGCAAGCAATTCCATACAGGTCATATATGTGTAGTCATGCAAAGCATATCAATAATAGTCACGTTGTGAAAGAAAACATAGACAAAAAGAACTCAAGAAAAATAAAGTGAAAAAGAAAAAAAAAGGTTGCTTCAATCTGTGTTCAGACACTGTCAGTTCTTTCTCTGGGGATGGATAGCATTTTTTGTCCTAAGTCCTTCAGAGTTGTCATGGATCATTGTATTGCTGAGAATAGCTAAGTCATTCATAGTTGATTATCTTACGATATTGCAATTACTTTGTACACAAGTACATTTCACTTTGCATCAATCCATGTAAGTCTTTCTAGGTTTTTTCTGAGCACCCTGCTCATCATTTTTTATAGTACAATAGTATTCCATCATAATTACATACCACAACTTATTCAGCCATTCTCCAATTGATGTGCATCCCTTCAATTTCTAATTCTTCACCTCCCAGAAAAGATCTGCTATAAATATTTCTGTACATAGAAGTCCTTTTCCTTTTTGTTTTTTTATCTCTTTTGGGATGCAGACCTAGTAGTGGTATTGCTAGGTGAAAGAATATACATGGTTTTATAGTCCTTTGGGCATAGTTCAAAATTCCTCTACAGAATGGTTGAATCAATTCACAGCTCCAACCACAGTACATTAGTATCTCTTTTTTTTCCCACATCCCATCCAAAATTTGTCATTTACCCTTTCTATCCTATTATCTAATCTAATAGGTATGAGGTAGTACCTCAGAATTGTTTTAACTTGCATTTATCCAATAAATAGTGAGAATATTTTTTCATATGGCTATAGATAGTTTTAATCACTTTATCTGAAAACTGATTATGTCTTTTCATCATTTATCAATTGGGGAATGGCTCTTATTTTTATAAATTTGACACAATTCTCTGTGTGTTAGAGAAATTAGTTCTTTATCAGAGGAACTTGCTTCAATTTTTTTTTCAGTTACTATTTCTAACTATATTTTCCTCCATCCTATCCCCCCCTCCTGTTTATTCTCTCTCTCTTTTCATCCTGTCCTTCCTCAAAAGTATTTTGCTTCTGATTATCCCTTCCCCCAATCTGCCCTCCCTTCTATCACTTTGCCCCATCTCTCATCCTCTTCCCCTTCTCTTTTCTTGTAGGGTAAAGTAGATTTCTATACCCCATTGCTTATGTATCTTATTTCCCAGTTACATGTAAAAACAATTTTTAACATTCGTTTTCAAAACTTTGAATTCCAAATTCTCTCTCTTCCTTCCTCCCCCCCCCCCCCCCCTTTGAGAAGGCAAGCAATTTGATGTAGGTTATACATGTGTAGTCATGGAAAACACTTCAATAATAGTCATGTTGTGAAAGACTAACTATATTTCCCTCTATCCTATCCTGCCCCCTGTTTATTCTATTCTCTCCTTTCACCCTGTCCCTCCTCAAAAGTGTTTGCCTCTGATTATCCCCTCCCCCAATTTTCCCTCCCTTCTATCACTCCCATCCTTATCCCCTTCTCCCCTCCCACTTTGCTGTAGGATAAGATAGATTTCCATACCCAACTGAGTGTGTATGTTATTTCCTTCTTAAGCCAATTCCAATGAGAACCAGGTTCACTTATTCCCTCTCACCTCCCCGGTTTCCCCTTCAGTGTAAAAGTTTTTCCTTGCCTCTTTTATGTGAGATAATTTACCCCATTCTACTTCTTCCAGTACATTCCTCTCTTACCCCTTAATTTTATCTTTTAGATATCATCCCTTCATATTCAACTCATCCTGTG